ATGCCTGATAGCCATTTTTTGAGCCATGTTTGTGGGTTGCTATGGGCGCTTATACAGTGCAATACACTTGCTTGGGCCTTGCAAGCTCGTCATTTGCACGGTGTTTCGTTCAGTCAGTTCCACGGTGATTTAACCCTTATATAGAGGAGTCAACGACGAACGTTTTGCATGCACCAATAAGTGATAAATTCACAGAACGGGCAGTATTGTATACTCAGTTGTGTTGTACTGACTCGAACAGACCACGTGCATGGCTCAAAAATAGCTATCAGGCATACTGAAATTTGAGCGTAGTATCAAGAACACTCGAAACAAAAGGTATGATATTTCACGATTACCAGCGAAGAGCAATAGAGTGTACAAAACTGCCTTTTCAGTGATTTTACCACTTCACGGCACGTGTAAAATACTCGTCGCGTCGTCGACTCCTCTATGTGAGGGGTAGATCCACAAGGATCCGACTGAACGAGAAGGCAACGTGTGACAAGGCTCTAAGGCCGAAACACGTGTATAAAGGTATAAACACTGTGTAAGTGATGTGATGTAATGTGGGGCGGGGGTCGCTGACGAGGAGGCCGAAACCTCCGAAAGACCGGTGTATGGCCTTGGCGTACCAACCTCGTTTCGACTAAAAGAATTCTTTTTTTTTGGATTTAATTTTGAATGTTTATCACGAAGGTTAAAAACAGTCGATCACATGGATTAATTTTGGTCTACCAGCTAAAATCCATCGACTGAACAGTGGTGATGGACCAGTGTCATTGTACACTATGCCATCACCACATACCACATACGCCTCCCTCTTTGCTACAATGCAGGGCTTAATGTGGGGCGGGGGTCACTGACGAGGAGGCCGAAACCTCCGAAACAGCGGTGTATGACCCTGGCGTACCAACCCCGTTTAGGCTAGAAGCATTCTTTTTCTTTGGATTCAAGTTTAACTGTGTAAGAGTTAATAAAAAAAACCTATTCATGGCTTAGAAAATAGCTAACTAGTACCTGAGAGTGATCTCAAGAAACATTCGAAACGAAAGGTAATATAAAAGGAGTATTATTGAATTTGACTTGTCTTCATCCTTGGCAAATTAATTGATTGAATTTTCTCTGTTGACCAAATCAATAGCACGAGGTTGATGGATAACTTTATTTGGCTAACATTTCGATGCAGAGTAGCGATGATTCAAGTCGACTGTTCTCAGTGAGATTTTTATTCGAGCAAACCTCCATCGAAGAAGATTCAACTCGAACGACAATGAAGACAAAGACCGTGATGGGCAAGAACGAGAGAGGATAATCGATTCAAATGATCGGCTTTATGGAAAACGAAGATGTCGGAACTTTAATCGAATAGAGTTATTTCTATCAGTTCGTGCTGTGGGTTTGATCAAGAAAAAAACCAGGCGCTGATCTTCCCACCCAAAGCTGTTAGATGATAAGCAAAATTAGCATCCTCACGTGGTAGTTAAACCAGCGTTCAACCCCTACTAGGGCTCGTGCTACCACTAAGTAGCTAGGGATGGGTGAGAGGCGAGTTCAACTCCCGCGTAAGCGTGAAACTTTGCTTATAACTCAACCTATAAAAGCGGTGGAATAGAAAATTTCTACACATTATACACTTCCTTGCCGACTAACTGACCACGTTGAGTAGTTCATCGTCTTGTAACAATATCGTTAAATTTGCTCCCCGTTGAACGAGAACATCGGTGTTTCGATCGCCATTGAAGTCGCCAAATCCGCATACTCGACCAAACTGCACCGGTACTTTCTTACCTGCAGATACTTCAGATTCATTTAGGGAAAAAAATATAGGGGAATCACTCGAACTGCTTGTGAAACATACCAAGACCGTAGCAGATCTGAACTATGGATGACCAGAAGAAGAAAAACACCAGAGTTCTCTTCATGGCATCACTAGAATGATACAAGTTCAAGAGGAAATTGAATACTGATATCGGATCAGATACGACGGCAGGCTTCATAACCATCCATCATCGGACAGAAACAAATTAGACATTTCTTTTGAAGAGATTCAAGTAATAACAACATTGTTAAATGAAACTATAAACATAACAAATGCTTTGACATATAGGGACCTAAGTCAATTCAAAGACATTTATAGCTATAAAGAAACCTCATTATTTCCGTAGAGGTAGCGATATGATATCAAATTAACAATAGTGACACAGATTTCAATTACGGCAAATATGATTCAAAGTGACCTAATAAAACGTTCTTTAATTTTCGGTATCAGATTTATATGTTCATCAGCGCATACGGCAACACATTTATCGAGTCTATCATTGAATTGAAGCATCTGGAAAGATTGAATATATCAAAATGTTAAGAGAAATAGTCCTGAAAATCCCTGTTTACCTGTGATTCTGTATATTTATTGACGTCTGGTCCATAAGTTTGCACTAATTTATCATAACATGTCATTGCACAGCGTGAAAGCTGATCCTGAAAAAAGGACGGACAATCACTGGATTCCAGAGAAAGTCATCTTATAATCCTTATAGACCATGGACGAGACTTTCGCAAAATCTAGTATGAATGAATAATGTAATTCTATTATTACCGAAAAACTTCATTTGGCTAACAAAGAGAATAACCGGGAAGTACTGAAGAATGATAAGGCTGATATATGCCAGCTGGTCTTAGGAAATACTAAAGAATTGTTAGAAAAGTGAATGGCAAATATCAACTACTCTGTATTGCAGAAAGACTCAACAGTTTCGTTATCACTTTATTTGATAGAATTAAAACCTCAATAGGAAAAAGTCTGGGCTAAAATCCAGTTGACAATTCGATTGAGAAACTTTTGAGAACAAAGTTCAGTTACCCAATTTTGTGGTGAAACCCCCCCCTCTCCCTCTCTGGAAATTCACACACATGCCGCGGCTCACCTGTAATCCACCTAGTTCCTTTTCGAGGGTCCGTTGAGCGTTCTTCATCCCACTATTGCATTTTTCTACACAACTTTCGACGACTTCACGACTTGTAGTCTTATGATCACAACATCTAAAAATAAAAAGATAAAAATAAAAGTAATTGGCGACGATTTCGAGGCGAAGGGAGCAAAGAAAACTGCACAGATATGGGAAAACAATAAGAAGACGAAGAAGAAAAAATAAGAAGAAGATACTTGGCCGAGCAGAGGAACATCTGCTTTTGCATTTCTCGGAGGTGATTCCGATCGATTTCGTCGATCATCGTGTCGACGGCCGTCTTCACTTTCGCCTGCGTCGCTTCCATCGTCGAACTGGACATCGTTATTTCGTTCTTCTTGCTCTCCAAGACGTTCAGTTCAATGGAAGAGACTTTCTTGACCTTCTGGAGAGCACCTCAATGTCTGAAATGTTCAGTTTTTGCAGGAAAAAACTGAGTTATATGCGAGAATGAAGGAAAACGACGAGAGAGAGACACGACGACGACCACCAGGTCGCGGCTTTTTGTTGAATGAAGTTACGAGCACATATTGTTCTTAGTCAAAAGGATGAATTCATACGAGTTACTATACAGAAAAATATCGATCTTTCTCAAATATTCGGCTTTGGAATTCGAATTTTTCGAATAGAAAACCTCTCTCGAGAGCTAGCGATGGAACAAAGCTTCTGGGGTTGATCAATCCTTGAGTGATGCGTCGTGCATTCATCTTCGAATCTCAGCTTCGTCTGAGGTGACTGAATGCATATCTGGCGCCTTTACAATGACTCGCGCTAGGCTTATCGTTGTATCGAGTCAGTGCCGCCTAACCTTTCAGACAAATCTGGGACCTGCCTGGTATCAATTCACTGACCCCGAAAGTGAAACGCTTCGTGGTCCATGGAGGCGCGATCGAACCATCGACCTTGTGCGCCAGACATAGCCCCTCTAACCCACTGCGCCACATGCGCTCTTTACCAATGGGAATCTACAATAAAACCGAGACGACAGGGACTGGAAATGAAGAACACAACTGTAATATATATTGGTAATAGAATATATGTGCTCAGCATTCATTGTCGCTGTTTACAAGCCATCGATATAAACAAACGAATAATTCCCAATGGTTTATATCTACTATAAACAAAAATCAATAAATCCATAATGAAAACGACCATGATTTTTGTAATAAACTACATACGTCTCTAGTAGCCTTGGAAATAAAGAAAAAATCTCGCCTCTATCGGGAGTATAGACATTTGCCGGATTTCAAAACTGCGCCCGAATGTCACCACCGTGGTTCGAAACCGAGCGCGATATTCACTCGAGAGATCGAGAGCCACGCGTCGCATCGATTCAATAACGGGGAAAAGCAGTAACTCGTGGGAGACTCGCTGAGTCGATGGAGTGTAGAGTAGTGGTAGATCACAAGTTCGTCCAAAGAACTCGGATCTGAACATAGATTCGGTCGGATAAACGAGAAGAACACGATAGACGGGGCCGAAGAACACATCCCTGACACTTTTGCGTTATGTCGCAGGGACTAGTTTCACAAAATCTTCGATCAGTAAGAAAGCAACCCGGAATTTATTTAGTAGATAAAGCAAAGGACAAAGCTCTCGACGTTGATCAATCCCTGAGAGGTGCGCCCTGCATTAGACTTCGATTTGTAACTTCGTTTGAGGTGATTGAATGCATATCTGGCCTTTACAATGACTCGCGGTGGCCTCCCGCTGAACCGAGTCAGTGCTGCTTATCCTCCCAGATAAGTCTGAGACCTGTCTGGTACCAATTTACGACCCCGGAGAGATGGATGGTTTGGTGAGCCATGAGCGCGAGATCGAACCATTGACTGCGTGTGCGACGCAGAGCACCTCTAACCACTTCGCCACATGCGCTCATTTAGTAGATAGATTCATTAATTAATTAAAATCCGTCAAGTCCGTGCTACTTGCTCAATCATCTATGTATTAATGACTGACTGGAAAATTTCTTTTGTTTTTACTGCGTTTTTCGCAGTATTATGATGTTTTGAATAGAACTAAGAGAATTCAGTGATGAGCAAAAACTCGATCGACCTCAGGCGGGAGTTGAACCCGCGTTTCATCCATACCGAAGAAGCGTCCTACCACTACACCTCCGAGGCCATCGCTTCTCACCACCCACTTTATGATGTCACTCTATCACAGCTATCAGCCACCAACGAAACAGCCACCAAATACGAGTTCAACTTCCGTTTGAAGTCGAATTATTGCTCGCCACTCAATTCTCTTAGTTATCATTAATTGGTACTGTCGAGGTTAGAGAAAGTCGGTTTTCAACGTGTTATGAAGTGATTTTAAACGTTAAGGTGAATCCGGTGAGATGTTTGCTTAACTGTACGCTTTGTATGTTGGATGGTTTAATCGCTGAAAGGGTGATGTCAGTTTGGATTCGATCGAAAAGCTGATAGACGAAGGATTATAGCCTATGGTCCGTGCGATCCGGACGAAGTACGCGTAGGTGAGCATGTGAACCCATTACCGTAAGGCAGGATGATGTGCTTCACTGACGTCTACAAAGGAGGAACTCCTTTCTACCGTAAGGTGACTCGCCGTCGCTGGGGCATGGAAACCTCTGAGCGGATTATGGCTGACGGGTCTAACGCTTCCAAGAAGCATTAGGCTGACTGTACGAATCCCAATGGCCCTAATGACCGCTACTATAATCGATAAGGATTTTTCAACCGCATTCTTAGCAGTATTATCATGTGTTAACTGTGTATTCAATAACATTGAGTAATATGCAAGACTATGAATCCCGAGTAGGAGTTGAACGCGCTTCTCATATTCTCCGAGGACGCTTGCTAACCGCTGCACTACCGGGGCTCCCGTTCTTCTATCACTTCCCTTGCAATACACTTCTGAAAGGGTGGAACACGGATTCAATTCCCGCTTAAAGTTCAAAGTTTAGCATATCATTCAACATTATCGGATCGCTACTGTTTCGAGAAAATGTCCTGCCTAGGAAGCAATCCCTGTGGCACAATCCATCTGAAAAGTGGTTATCTCAATTCATTCAAATTTGTTGAAACCACCGCTAATACTCGAAATTTCCAGGATTTTTGCTGCACTTCGCAATGTTATGATCATTCATATATCCATAAGAGAATTGAGTGATGAGCAAAAACACGGCCTCAGGCGGGAATCGAACCCGGGTTCCATCCTATCCGGGAACGCGTGCTCTACCACTACTTCAACATCTCTATGTTAGCTATCAGCTATCAGCCACCAGCCTTTGAACAGGTTTGGTCGGGTATGCGATTTCGCTCTGTAAACTCAGTTGAGCTGACAGCCATTGTGATAACTAATATTCGAAATTTCTATAATTTTTACTGCATTTCGCAGTGTTATACCACCGGTAATATCGGCCATTGATATGGGAATGTCAGCATTGTGAAGCGTCCTAATCGTGAGTTTCGTCGATCATTCCTTTGTTTTTCTTGCCATCAGTTTTTACAGAGTCTGTTGTAGTGAACGTCACAGCACTATTCGACAGAGTTGTCTGATTCATTATTTCATACATCCACATTCCCTATAATAACTACTACTGGATAGATAAATTGTAACTGATGTAGCCATTCATTTTAGGTCAAAATACCTGTCAAAAAAACTCGTCCGAGAACAAGGGCTTATGCTGCATTTTCAACTGCTCAGTAGAAGAGAGCTTTCCCCAATTCGACGTTCTCCACATGCGTTAGCAAAGCTGCTGCCTGATTAAAAGAATGTGAGAAAAGGGTTCAGTGTGCCAAATTGAATCATCGGAAAGAAATTAACTTCTATATAGCTCATAACAGCTAATTGGAGAGCCGACTTTATTGGCACTATAGCGCCCATGCAATCGCTTATTGTTAGAAAAATTGAAAACCTCGTCCAATTCCCAATGTTTTTTTTCTAGTTAGGAGAGATCGCTCGTCGACATGACTCATGTGCCTGGTGGCGTAAAGCAATGCAAAATGAATTGCTAATCGCCAAGACGTTATCAAAATCATCTGCACGATTTGTTGAAGGGTACGGTTGATTGTTCAACGCTAATGTACTCAACATCATGTGATCTTGGATAGCTAATAGCCAAGGAATAACTTCAATAACTAAGTCGCTGCTTAAAAGGCTTCGTGAAATTCGTCGCTTTAACAGTGAGATTTCTTAGAGGAATGAAATGCCTCTTTTTGAGAGAAGCTGTAAATCTCAATAGTTTGGACACTGAGTGATAATGGTTTGTTTGAGCAACGAATTTTAGCGTTTTAGAGTTGTCTTTCGAAGATGCCGTGAGTTTAATGCTTCATATTTTCTGTCAGATATACCGTGAAACTTCCACACTCATTCAAGAATGTCAAGTAATATGCAGAATATTAACCTTCGTGGAGCGTGGAGTTGAACCCGCGTCTCACTGTCATTGGGGGGCGCCGGTAGTGCAGTGACTAGAAAGCACGCCCGATTACAGCTGAGACTCGGGTTCAACTCCCTGCCGAGCTTCAGAGTTGTGCCTCACTCAATATTCTTGGATATAAGTTATGAAGTTAACAGTATTAATAGAGAGGCCAAATAAAGAATTCCTGTAAATTACTTATATCCACCCATCATTCAAACCAAATCCCAAAATGGGCGTGTTGTGCGGACGATGCGTTGGAGATCAATAAGCGGCCGCGACTCGTTTGTCCTTCATACTCGCTCCGAGCACCCATAGTGACAGCTGAACCAGCCTAGTTGTCGTTATCCGGAGATCGTCCAGATCGTCAATGGCTGACAAAGTGATCCTCACCGAGGTGCTGGAGGCTTCACACCTCACTGAAGCCTACGCCGAACTCACTGCACAAACTCTGATCAACGAGTAAGACAGCGCAAATTTTCTAAATTTACAGGCCTTTAGCCCTACTGAACTAGTTAACACAGGCACGACATTCTCTGTGGTACAATTGTTCGACCATAGGACGTTCACTGTGATTCAATGTTTGATCAAATGCACACTTCCACGGCTTCTGTTTTCACCATATTCATGTCTTACTCTACTAATGAGAGAACTCTCGCTTTAGAATCCTCAATCACAACCTTATGTTAATTCTAATATGTTACTAAGACCTCAGAGACAACACTACTTGGCAACGTGAATCTACGTGGCTTTTTTCTTGTGTAAGAAAAATACGAAAAAAAACTCAAATGCTTATAGATAACTATTTGAATATTGGCATAATACACGTTTTCAGATCATGCTTTCCTGACTACACTTCTCATTTGACTGGTATTTCGATGACCGAACAAATTCTTTTATCCTTAGAGTACCGAAATCTGGTGCTAGCGCATTCCTAGGCCATCACATAGAAGCACTAGACTGTTTAATATTGTTAGCCCTTTTGAGAAATGAAGCTTTTGTTGTACAATACAGTTCAATACCCAGCAGCAGCTAATCGTTTAGTGGGACAGTATGTTACAGAAGAGATTTCATTACAGTCAAACTCTTACAAAAAACACCATGTTCTCTTCGCCTGTTTCTTCTCTTCACTATATCTGACCTTGTTTGCATGCAAAGTATCAAATATGAGTCCCTGGTGGTGGTAGATCTCTAAAGATGACTTGTTGAACAAGCTTGTACATTAAACGTGAACATGGGTTATAGAATTTATCTCGTGAACATACTGGAACACTTCAAGAACCCTGTGCTGCTATTTTATGTGCTCCGGAAAGCATCATTCTGAGGTTTCTCCGATGAACTGTGTTGTTCCTATGTTCATGAGTCGAAAGATGCCTCCGTCACAGTAGACGCTGGAAATAAAAATCAAGTTGATTTTGCAATTATAAAAATTCCTCTTTCAAATTCACAAGAATTAATTTTGTTGGCAATTAGTTTTTCGAAGTCATGTGCTCCATGGTAGAGGATATGTAGTTTGTGTACTTAACGACATTGACCATCTACTGGCTCAAGTTAGGAAGAAAGTAATCCACTTTTCCAAGATGTAAGAGATTACGAAATTACCATTTTGACGCGTGGAGCTCTTGCGCTGCTTTTCTTTCATCCTTTTGTTAGCATATTCTGCACAGATGTTGCAATATTCTCCGACTTGAAAAGCTCTTCATACCGTTGGTAGTTTACGAAAAGATAGAAGAAAAACCGACTTTCATTAACCTTAGCGCAATTTATCAGCACCTTCTTCAATGATTGAGCTACAAATAAGTCATCACGAGAGTTTCGTTTCACTGTTTTCGCCTTCTTTGGGACCGGATTGAGTTGAGCCAGTGCTTAATAGGTGGTCGTTCTCATTATGTTGTTGTTCGTTGCCGCATCCAGTCGAATTCAATGAGGTTAACCTCGTTCCAAATGTAAATATTTATCTCAGCAGGCAGTGAACGTTATCGAACGGAACATATATATTGGTGGCTACCCTATAGAACAAGCGGATATATAGTAATACATTTTCATTATCACATGTTCCATCGACACTGCGCAATACAGCACTTCTTGCATTCAATTCGTTTCCTCGCATTCTTCTTCCACAAAAGACTTCATACATCTTGAATACTTTTTCTGCTGCTGCTTAATGAAATCGCTCTTTTATGAATGTCGTAGATTGGTGATGTAGAAGATTCTGCTTATATTCTTGCGAATAGCTAAGCTACAGTGTTCTCACGTCGTTCGAATAATTGCGTCGGAAGGGAATCGAATCATAGCTTCCTGATGGGCTGATCACTCAACCACTCTACTAGCCTTAGTAATATGTATATATATATATATATATATATACATATATTGTATATATACATATTTAACCATAAACCGGCAGCTCAAAGTTATAAAAGGCCGTCAAATTCTCAAAAAAAAAACACTTCAGTTGTCAAAGATTTTGATCACAGAAGTCTGCCAAGAAAACATTTTCGTTATAAGAAGCATATAATAGTCATTTTTAACAATCCTCGTACTCTATCGCTATGATGGATCGTAGTTGATATATACAAAATATCTTTTCTCCTTTTTTAATTGAATTAGGTGTAGTCGTGACGGAAGAGGTATCCTTCTCAATGGCGAGTTTTTATTCAGTCGTTATTCAAGAGTATAAGAAGCTAGCGATTGCCGCAAGACTCACTTATCTGTCTTTGTGTCATAAATAAAAACGTT